AGGCCTTGGCACACAGTAAGTGCTCAGTAAACGGTAGCTTCTGTTTGTTAATATAGCCCCAATTCCACAAGCTCCCTGAAGGTCTGTAGCCTGCAGGAGTTAAATCCAGTGACTTCTGGAAGGAGGGTGAGGATAAGGCTGGATGAGGATGCAGTAGCTGTGGAGCAGGCGGGCATGGGGCGGCCAGCCTGGATGGTGTCCAGCCAGGCAGCAGCCCACGTACCAGCCTGCTCCGTCCCAGGCTTGCCCAGCCCTAGGCAGACCTGAGCCAAACTCTTTCGGGTGGGTCTCTGTCCGAAACCAGCAGAAAAGAACCAGAGGGAAAAGCTGGCTCAGGGCCCCTTCCTGGGACCTTGGAGAAGTAGCTCCCTCTTTAGCATATGGATCCCACCTGGATCTAACCAGCTGAGTTCCGGAGCAGGGCCTTCCAACTGAGAAACAGGAAGGACAAGATCAAAAGCTAGAGTAACTCCTTTTTTTGCACATTAAGGTGCCCACCTTCCCTGCACAGACCTGGGCAGGGGAGGTCTGTAGGGTGAAGTGAAGCCACACCAGGGTGATGGAGTGAGTATGGGTTAGTGGCCGCCAAGCCTTTTGTACCCAAGTGAAGAGAGGATACCTTTAGCCTACAGCTCTGGACACTCACTGGCCAGTGGTCAGAGCTCCTGGTCGCCTCCCAACCTGCCCTGAGGACAGTGCCCCCTTGCTGCCCCGTCACATGTCACCCTTAGGCCAGGCCAGCTCTCACCGTCCTTTGTGGCTTCCTTGAAGAGCTGGCACCAGACCCAAGCTGTGTCTCTAGTGTTCCGTGAGACAATGAGCTGCGTCGCAGAGCAGCCACCATTCCTCCTGCCCAGGGTACCTCCTATCCTACCTCCACCAGAACAGCCAGGGCTCCTACGCACTGCCCTGTCCCCTTGTCTCCCACCCCATTGTTGGGGCTGATCTCCCTGGGGCAGCAGGCGCTGGTCTTATCTACATAAACAAGAGGCCTTGGCTGGGTTGAGGAAAGGGCAGACTTGGGAGGTGAGGGTCACCTCTATTGTTCCCCCAGCCACCCTGGTGGTCTTTTAGCTCTTCCAGCCCATTCCTTGTGGGGCCCAGAGCTGCCTGGCCTTCTGGAAGCAGCCTGGCTATGTTCTGTAGGGCCCATCACCATGACACCTGCCAGGGAGGGGCTGGGCCCAATGGGGCGTTGGCCCCCAGCAGCCCTCCCCGAAGAGGAACAGGGAGCGGCCCTGGGCCTGCTCCCCAGAGACGGGCACTAGGATTAGGGTATCGACTTTCCTTGGCTTTCCAGGTGGCTGCTGGTGGCGCCTATTGAATTCCGCACCCGCAGTCCGCTTGGACTGCGTGGGTGGAGGTGACTGGGCGGCCACTCAGGCTGGGCTGAGCTCCCTGGGAGAGAAGAGGGAAGGGATGGTCCTGTGGGCCTGTGACAGGGTTTGGGACAGCCTGACAACCTGAGGGTGGGAGAAGGCTCTGGGAGAAGAGTCTGGAGGCGGCTCTGCTGGCAAGATCTTTTGGAAAGCTTGTCTGATGTTGCCTAGAAGTGAGACTCAGGCCCACCCAGCACCCCAGTCACCCCAGCTCGTTTGCTCCATCCTTTGGCCACCATTGCCTCTTGCCCCTTCCTCTTGCTTCCGGGTCTCCACCAGGCTCCTCACTGAGCAGATCCTGACTTCTCCTTCTGAGCCATCATCGTCACTGGGAGCCCCACCTGGCACTCTGGACACTCTGAGGCCGGGTTCCCCTTGAAATCCCCCCCCCTCCACCCCCTCCTGAGCTCCTGGGGGCCGCACACCAGAACCAAGATGGCCTGGACTTTCCATCTACCCGTTTCCTCGGAGCCAGAACCCAGTCCTGCTTCAGCGTTGGGGGTTGGGGGTTGGGGCCCAGGAGCAACAGTGGCCAGGCTCTGCCCAGGTACCTGACCCCTCCCCATCAGATCCCCAGGGAGGCTGCCCCCAGGGACTCCTCCTGCAAGCACCAACCTCCACCCTGGCTGGGATGGGCTCCTTTGATGGGCTGACTCAGCAGCTGGCAGTGACACCTCCTGGAGACAGCTGGGGGAGGGGTGGAGTAAAACTGGCTGATCTCCCTGGAAGAATGAGAAGCCCCCACCCCTCCCATGAGAGGGGAAGGGAAGGAGGGAGCCTCCGGGCCTTGGGAAGGAGGGCGCTAAGATGGAGCCTGTGTCGGTGTCTGAACACTTCAGAAAACCACTGCTTGTCCCCAAGCTCAGCCACCCCCAGAGGGCAGTGGAGCAGGTCCCAGTAAAGGGGGAAGGGAGCAGTGGGGGAGCTGAGCCCCATTGCCTCCAATCCTCATGGCTTGGGACTGGCAGAGGGGAGCAAGGTTCAAAGCAGGCCCTCTGGCTTTGATGATAGGGCACCAGAAGGTGCAGGGAAGCATGGAGGATCGGGAAGCATGCCCCCAGCACTGAGACCCAGGCCCGATGGCCCTGCTGGCCAGGAGCAGCACTCCCCGAACCACTGGGCTGCCCCAGCCCGGGCCTGCCCACCGCAGCCCTGCTTATCCCAAGTCAGGCTAGAGCTCTGGCCGCAAGAGGCCTTGAACACCCGGAAGGAAGGCTGTGGTTTCATCAGCCACCAGCTGCCTCCCAGCAGAGACTGCAGCCACTGCGGGGGAGCAACCCATGTTTACGACTCCTGCTGGGTTCTCCTCCCAGTCTGGACTCGGGTCCTTTGGGGCCAGCCCGTGGATGGTGGAAAGAACACGGGGTCCAACTCAGAGACCTTGCTGGAGCTCTGGCTCCTCCACTGTGAAGCCGTGGGACATTAGGCCGTGGGCTTAATATCTGGACTCTGTTTCCCCGTTTTGAAAATGGGGTGACCAGCCCCAGCAAGGTGGCTATGGGAAGGCTCTTTGGAACGAAGGGAGGTGGAGGGGAGCGGGGGACGTCAGAGCTGCTCGCACCACTGCCCCCCCCACCCCCCACCCAGCCCCTGGTGCGATCCTCCCCACTTTCTCAGGGTGATTGCGGGCTCTGCTGGCTGGGGCAGAAAGCTGAGCCTGCAAGGTGGTGACAACTGGTCAGACCTGTTCCTGCTCACCTCGGCCTGGGGGAGGGCTGGGCTGGCAGCTTTGTGGAGGGATTAGCTGGAGGGGAGAAGAGCCTCACTTACTCCTGAACAATATCCCGTGGGGGCTGCCAGGGGATAAGCAGCGCAGGTGGGGGGTGGGGAGCCAGGGGAGGGGCTCCTGGGATTGCACCCTGGCCCCACTGTGCCCCGCCAACAGGGAGTTTGAGAGAAGGGGATGTTTCACAGCCACTGGGGTCCCCCTCTGCCCCTCCCCCACTTTTTTATTGCTTGCCTCTCTGTCTTTGCTATTGTATGGGGTGAGGGAAGCCTACTGAAGGAGAAACTAGGGAAGGGCCCAGGGCCTGTGGCCCAGATCAGGGTGACTGCAGGTCCAACCATCACACCTCCTTCCTATCGTCCTCTCCACACCCCCCCACCAACATCCTGAAACACAGAGACTTGCCCGGGCAGTTAAAGGAAGGCAAAGTCATCCTTTGGCCACCACCCCCCCAACCCCCCCTGAGACTGGAGGGGTGGGGAGCCCCAGATGGGACTGGCAAGTTGGGGCAGGAGGCCTTTAATAAGCCCTCCTCTCCTTCCCTGCCTCCTGGCTGGCTCTACTCCCAGCTGGGGACTGGTGTTTCAGAGCAAGCTGGCCCCCACCCTACTCCCCAGAATCTCCCTTCTCAGCTTTATGGACTATTCGGTAGTGTTCTCAGCACTGGGAAAAGTCTATATGTGCAGGGGGATTTTGAAGTTGTGAAGTGTCCCCACTTGTATGAATTATCTCACTTGGCCTCACAGCACCCTTGGGACCCGAGGAGGCAAGTGGCACGAAGAATGGTCTATAAATGAGGAACCTGAGGCACTAGAAGGAAATGACTTGCCTCAGGTCACATAGCTAATAAGTAGGGAAGCTGGTGTGGGGGCCAGGGCCTTGATTCTGGCCTTTGCTCATTGCCTGGTGGCCTGGGAGATCACCCGGAGCTAGCAGGCTGGCTGCTACAGCCCTGCCCAGGCCTGGGAGGAAGGGGAGAGGAACCCCTGAGTTAGGCCTTGGGCTCAGGCTTCTGGCCAAGGTTTCAGGTTGCTTGGCCCATGCATACCCAGATTCCCTCCATCGTGTACATGTGTCCTAGGGCTGCAGCATCTAAGCTAAGCTGCTTAAGTTGAACAAAGGATGGTGAAAACCATTTTCAGCTGAGTGTCCGAGTGCTGGAGAGAAACCTGCTTGAAGCCCTTTCACTAGGTCCCCACCCTGAGCCATGGCCACAGCCACGTTGGGCTCCCTGCAGCCCTGCCCTGCTTCTCATGGTCCTTTCCCCAGTCAGGCTTTCCCAACGGAGTCTTTGAGGTTCTACTGTGGGGGTCCCTATCCTGTCCAGGACTCTGCTATGCTTCCCCCCAGCTCTGTGGTCATCTGGCCTCCTGCTTCCTTTTGGCTGGGCCATTTGGCTTGGATGGGGAAAGGCTTTACTATAAACACTCTGACCAGCTTTCAGTAAACACCTCCCCTGTCTCCCCTGCTGCAAGGAACGGGGTACCAAGGGGCCCAGGATCCCTGGTCATCCAGTCAGGCTGGCAGTGGCGTGACACTCACCCCCAGGAGGGCCAGACTGAAGTTTTTAGAGGGGAGGGATAAGGTAGCAACCAAAATAACACAATTATATCTTAGGATGGCACAAGAGGAGGGGGCTTGAGCTAATCTGACCCCACCTCCCATTTGCCAGAAGAGGTAACTGGCCTGGATGGGGCACCTGGGCAGTTGGCTACAATGCCAGGTCTTCTGGGTCCCAGCCCAGCATTCTCTCAACCTGCTGTGTGGGATCTCAGCAAACTTGCCTTATTCCCAAGTGCTGAGGAGGGTGGAGCAAGGAGGGGTCAGGTGCAGGGCAGGGAGGGCAGGACCTAGGATGATGGAGAATGGCCACAGCCCCTCCTTTACCCCCACAGCGTGAGCTCCGGCCTCGGTTCTGCGCCATGAAGAAAGGCGCCAACGGCTACGGTTTCAACTTGCACAGCGACAAGTCCAAGCCAGGCCAGTTCATCCGGGCAGTGGACCCAGACTCACCTGCTGAGGCCTCGGGGCTCCGGGCTCAGGACCGCATTGTGGAGGTAATGCTTCTCACGCTCTCTCCAGGCCCTGCCTTCCTGACTAACCTCCCCACCTATGAGCAGCCCCTGGGGCAGCAGCCATCACACCATCTGCTCCTAGCTGAGCCCAGGGGTTCTGGGCAGCCCATAGGTGCCAGGTCAATACAGGGAGGAGGGAGCCAGAGAGAGGGGAAGAACGGTGGGCAGGAGGGAGGGTGGTGGATGGTGGACTCCCTTCCTGCCCTCACCTTCTCTGGGTTCTTATTCACCCAGAGACACACTCAGTGGCCCAGGAGTTGCCCATCCATCCCAGGAGATGTGTGGGGCCACCCAAGGAGTTTCCTACTGCCTGAGGGCTCCGTGCTGGCAGGTGCACTCAGACACTCTTGGGAGGTGCTCAGGAGGAAAGGAAACATGAACCCCGTGCCTTGGGCAGGCCCCAGAATCTCAGTCTTAGAGCCTCAGAGCTAGATCAGCTCTCCCAAGACTTCTCACTTTACATGTGAGCAAACCACAGCCCTGAGCGGGAAGTCGGACACAGACACATAGAAACGCGAGGGCCCATCCCAGGCCTCCCTGATCTTTCCTGCCCTGTCTGTCCCAGCTGTGTTTGTTTAGTCTTTTCTCTGTATTTTCTTTGGCTTTTCTCATGTGTCCTAACTCCTCATTTGATTGTCAAGTGGGAGGACCACTTGGCTTAATTTAAGACTCCACAGGCAAGGAGGACTTAGTGTCCCCAGACTACCAACTGGCCAAGGACGAAGAGGACCATTTGTATCCCCTCTGCCTCCCCTCTCCAAAAAAAAAAAAAAAAAAAACTGTGCCAGTAACCCCTGCCCCCACCCACAGGTGAATGGGGTCTGCGTGGAGGGCAAGCAGCATGGGGATGTGGTATCTGCCATCAAGGCTGGTGGGGACGAGACCAAGCTGCTGGTGGTAGACAAGGAGACTGATGAGTTCTTCAAGAAATGCAAAGTGATCCCGTCTCAGGAGCACCTGACTGGTGAGCAGGGTGGGGCAGCTGGAAGCCCCCAAGTCAGGAATGGGGGTCAGTGCTCTAGATTTGACTGTGTCCCAGGCAAGGGGTGGGCAGCTTCCCACTTAAGAACTTCTTCCATCCGCTTTAGCGGAGGTCAGAAGCGTAGGTTGGCAAAGAGGTGCCTAATGTCAGGAGAGGAAGCGGGGATGGCAGTGGATTTCTGCCATCAGTGGATTTCTGAGGATTTCTGAGGCTTTATGTGATAGGGTTAGGCTGGCACGAGGGATGGGGAGGCGGGACGGATGGGGAGGCAGGACGGAGCTACTTATATTCCAGACCAAAGCTGTAGCACCAAAGGGAGGTCTCAGCCCCCAACCCCTGCACCCCCAGCAGGTTCTCCAGACAGCACTCATCCAAGGAAAGGGTTAACTCCAGCTTTGCTTGGTCAGATCAGAGTCCAGCGACAGGGGCCCAGTGCCTCCCCTCCCTTCTCTCAGGTTGTCTTGGAAACCCAGGCTCACTGGCTCTAGAGAGCAGTGGGTCCCTCCTTGGTCCCTGGGCCCCTGTCCTCCCCATCCCCCATATGACGCTGCCAAGCCTGGCACCTCCTCCTGCCCAAGCGCAAGCCAAACAGGGCAAGGCTGCTGCCCCAGGGCAGGGAGGTGTTAAAGCAAAGCTCAGCTCTCTGGTCTGGACTTTCTCCCTGGAAAGATGGCTCCTGGAGGAGTAGGGGTGGGGGGACCTCTTTGGACTTTGCAGTGGGTGGGGCCTCCCTAAGGATGTCAGAGTTTTATTTATAGTGGGATGATCCACCCAAAGGTCCTGCCATAGATTTAAATCCCTAGGTGGTGGGGCCAGGTGGGTCCTGGGGGTTCCTGGAAGCAGGGATGGGTCCGTGGAAGTCCCCAGCAGACTCCGAGCATGGGCAGTGGGGCACTACCCTACCCTTGTTTCCCAAGTTCACAGAAACCAGATAACTTAGTGGCCTTCTTCAGTGAGGGAGAAACTGAGGCCCCGAGAAGCCCCTTGGCAATATGGTGTGGGAAAGACAGCAAAGATCTAGATTCCACACAGCTTCTCAAATATCTTCTCCTGAGGCCTCCAGCACCCCCCCCCACCCCCACCCCCAGAAATCAGCCCTCAGACATTCCTTCCTCTTATCTCTCTGGCTAGGTGGGAAGGGCCCTGAGAACTCCAGTAATTGTAGCCTCTGGCCAGAGGAGCTGAATAGGGAGGGGCCTGAGGGCAAGTCTCTTCCCCAGGTATCCCTGGGCGAAAGGGGGGGCGGCTGAGTGTTACTGCCCCCACAGAGAGGAATGCCCTCCCCCCATCAGCTGCCTCCAGACCACATGAGACCGCCTGGGGGGGAGGGCATGGGTGAGAGTCCCTGCATCCCAGTGATCCCCTGCCCAGCTGGGACGAAATGGTGAGGGTTAGGTATGCCCGATGTCCAGGCCAAAGGAAACACGCACTTAAACTAAGAGTTCAGAAAAAACCCACCCAGGCTGACCAGTCCCCCTTACAGTCAGGTGGAGCCCCCACCTGAGCGAGCACAGCGAGGGGGACCCCAGGCTGGTGTTCTCATCTTCTGAGCACCCCAACCCCATCCCCTCACCCTCACATTGGCAAGCAGGAGCGGGATTTTTTTCTCTTTGAGCTGAGGCAGGTACTAACCAGAATCTGGGGTGTGGTTCCAACTCTGGTGACAGCGTCTTCTCCTAGGAAACAGCAGGCTCTGGTGCCCGGGCCTGGGGATCTGCATTTCTAACAAGCGTCCCAGGAGATTCTCAGGCAGCCAGCCTGGAATTTCCTCCCTCTCTAGGACAACAGTTTCTCCAAATTGCTCATGATCCATCCCTGGTTCCCAAGATCAACTTAGTAGCCAGAGACAAGCGTACTTTAAGTTGCTTTGAAAATATTGGAGAGCGTTACGATGTAGCAAGGGTAAATGTTATTTTACGCATCAGTGTGTGTGCTGGATCATCAGGATGTCAGACGGACGTCCAGAGGGTTGCAGGCCAGAGACTAGACACGGATGGAGGGCGCAAGGTCTAACTATGGCCCAAACCCCGCAGCTCTCCCTCCTCTTCGGGCGCCACTCCATCCACATTCCGCAGAGCTCCTGGACTCACCTCTGTTTTGTTTCGTTTTTCCCTTTTCTAGGTCCCTTGCCTGAGCCCTTTACCAATGGGGAGATCCGGAAGGTAAAGGCAGACCCTCTAATGCTTCTCTGGCTCTCACGCCAAGGGCTGCAGGAGGAGGGTGGAAGGTGGCGCGGTTGGGCCAAGGACGGCTGTCTGGCTCCGCTTGAAACTCCTGTTGCCAAACTGCTCCCTCCTGAGCTCCAAGCTATATAACTGCCCGTGCACCCCTCAACCCCTGTGTAGAGCCAAGGCAGTCAGGAGGCAGAGGCCCGGTCGGGGCCCCTCTGCAGCCCGCCATCCTGGTGACAGGCCCCGCCTTCAACTCCCCACCATACAGAAGAGGCCATTCTTCCCCCCAAGAACAGAGCTTCAGTGTCTGGACGCACGCTGCCTGGGCCCTGCTACTTCCAGTCTGGGTTGGAAGAACAAAGCCCCTCCTCCCCTCCTCCCTGGGCAGAAGGGAAGAGAAGGCAGTGGAGGCTGGGGAAGAGATGGCGGGGCCTGGTGCCAGCTGAGGCCACAGAGGAACCCAGGCAGAGGCTGAGCACCAAGCTGAAGCCTTGGCCAAGACCTTCACTCTAAGACAGGCTGACTCAGAGTCAGACCACAGAGCCGGAGCTCTCTGCAGGGTCTGCTGAAAGGTTCCCCCCCCCCCCCCGCCCCCACCCCGCCCGGGGATCCTGCCAGAGGTTCTTGCAAAGGGAGGTGGCCCTGGACCACCTGAATCTTCTGTCACTCCATCTGTGGGCCCAGAACACTCATCCCCATTATTCCTTCAAAGCCTTTGACTGCTTTGGGGTTAGACGTCAAGATTCCTAGGGTCAGGGCCAAGTAAACCAGTGGGCCGCAAGAAATTCAGGGAATATCATACACGTTCCCTGGGCCAAGGAGAGGCCCCCCCTGTATCTCCCCACGCTCCACATAGCCCCTCCATGGTCACTGGCCCAAAATGCTGGTCAAGACTGAAGGCTACTTTTGGAGGGCTGGGGAGGTGGGGTGTGTGTGTAAGCAATTCCACTAATCCCACGATGGTCCCTCCCACCTACGTGGTGGAACCAGGCTGCCCTCTGATCCTTAGAGGAATGTAAAATGTCAATCCCCAAGGCCCCAACCCCCCACCTTCCACTCTCATCCGGCTCAGGCAGCAGGGCTTGGGGTGGATGGGAAAAACTTGAGTGGAGCTTCTCAGAGGCACCTGTCTTCCCTGGGAACACCCTTCCCTATTCAGGATTTCCCCACCCCATCCCTTGCCAACCCACATCCCTCCTCTCTGTGCCAGGAGAACAGTCGTGAACCTCTGGCCGAGGCAGCCTCTGAGAGCCCCAGATCAGCCCTGGCAAGATCCACCTCCAGTGATACCAGTGAGGAGGTAGGCTGCTGGCTGGGCAGGCAGAGGGTGGCCCTGGGTTACAGGAAGCCCATACCCAAGCCACACTCTCATTCCTGGCACACCAACCAGCCTGCCTTGCAGGTCACATGCTATGCCACGTTCTGTTCTTGTGACCTTGCTCCCCTGGGCACTGCCCCAAGGGAGCCACCTTGCCGAGGCTGAGGACCAGGACACCTCACCAGGCACTGACTCCCGCTCTCTGCCACCGCCTCCCCCTCTTTGCAGCTGAATTCCCAAGACAGCCCCAGGAAACAGGACTCCACGGCACCCTCGTCTACCTCCTCCTCCTCTGACCCCATCTTGGACTTCAACATCTCCCTGGCCGTGGCCAAAGAGCGGGCCCACCAGAAGCGCAGCAGCAAGCGGGCCCCGCAGATGGACTGGAGCAAGAAAAACGAACTCTTCAGCAACCTCTGAGCATCCTCCCACAGGCTCCCAGGAGAGCTGGGAGGGCCGGCCAGCCCCCAGGCCCCACCACCCTCGGACCCATCTCCCTCAGTTCCCTCGTCTTCCTCCCCACTCACTTGTCCCACCCCCTACCCCCCCCCCAATCGACATACAAATCAGCACCAGCATCCCCCTCTATCCGTGAATGATTTTTCTAGAGAACTGTGCTCTTCCCTTACCTCGGGGAAGGTGAATGGGTTTCCATTCTGCCCCAGTCAGGAAGCAGACTCCCCCTGTTCCTACTGAGTGCTTCAGCCCCTCGCCACTCCCCTGGGAGATCACTGGAACCCACACCAAGCAAGGATGGAGGGACCAAGCAAGAGTCCTACACCCTCATGACCCCAAGTGATGACTGAGTCCAGGGTTGACTGAGGACTCCTGATGACAGCAACAACATTGTGGAAGGAACAGGGGTCTGTCATCCTTAGAGCTGTGGCTTGGGCATCTTATTTTTGTTCATTTGATTTTGAGTGCAGTATCAGAGTTTAGAGGGATTTTTTTGTCTCCTTGATTAATATGATTTTCCAGGTTGTTGCATCCAGGATATAGTGGCAACAGCCTTAAACTTTGTGTCTGCTCCTACCCCAGAGCCCCTGGGGCATGGGGAGGGTCTGGCCACCCCTGCCCAGCCCCACTGTCAAGGAAACTCCATCAGAAATTCAACTGGCTTCCAAACTGCCTCAGCCTCTGTGTCTTCCTTTAGAGCCCTAGGTGTTCCCAGGGGAGCCTCTGGCTGACAGATTGGGGTACAGCCTGGAGGGGAGGTCAGTCCAAGGTTCTCGGACTCCAGGCGGGGGAATAGAACATGGGCGGCTGTGATCAGAGGGCCTTGGGTCCCGTAGCTGCCCGGGCTTTGCACAAGTCTTGTGGGAGTGAGACCCGCCCAGCTCCTGAATGCATGCAACCAGCTGCCCCAGAGAAACCTTTATTGTAGGAAGTAGAAGGGAAGATCCACATGCTCAGAGGTCTTTATGTAGTTTCTAATTCTGGAGCACTGAAATGGTGAATCCTGGATCGAGCCTCATTCAATGCAAAGACTGGGCTTTCATCTAACCCCTCACAGCCAGTGGGGTGCAGGCTTCTCAGGAGTGGCCTGCGCTATCACCAGGTTATCTTATCTGGCCCTGGACATGCTCTGGGGCAGGTGGGGCGGAGCGGACTTTCCAAGGGCAAAATACCCTACGCCACCTCAAGAGATCCAGGTCTCTTCCACCTCTGGCACCTGAGGCCACACCCTGGGAGTGGCCAGGGTGGCCCGCAAGGGCTGAGGCTGCCAGGCTCAGAGGTGCTTGGAGAGAAGGATGGGAAGTGGATTCTAACGGAAAGCACTCATCACAGAGGACCCGGGGGCCTCTAGGGTTAAGAGAGGGGTGGGTCACTGTCTGGCCATCTTGGCCTCTAGTTGGAGCTTGGATTCCGACCAACCTTATACTATTCAAAACCCTGCCACAGCACCTTGGGCTCGGCCCGCCTGCTCGCAACCTTGCCTCTACCTTGTGACCTCTCACCTGTAAGCAAGGCCTGGAGAGGACTCCACAAGGCAGTGGGGTGGGGGGAGATCCCTCCCTACCTCACCTTTGGGTGGGGCTTCTGATGAAGCTCAAGGTTGAAACTCCTTGATCGCTGCTGAGGGGCCAGACACACTACAAACCCTTTGGTACACTGCAAGCAAAGGTAGATTCCAGTTTTTTACCTTCATAGTAGTGTTGGAATATGCCAGGACTGGGGAGAGGTGGGGGACTGGGGGGGGGGGCAGCAAGAGTTCTGGCTCTGCTACCTTGAGCCAGGCACAGCAACTCACATCAAGGTTTCCTCCCCTTGAGAATACCGACTGCCTTTGAGGGTCTCTTCCATGACCTGCCCTGAAACCTGTCCAGCCTCTCAACGGCCACCCTAGATTAGGACAGGACTCCTGGGAACAGAGGGGCGTCTCCCCCCTTCCCGCTCCAGCTCTGCCTCTGAAGCACCAGCTGCCAGACCCTGGAGACATCCTGAGGCTGTGCCTCCGACGCCTCCTTGTGGCCGTCAGGTGCCACGGCTCCCAGAGACCCAAGAAATGAGCAGAGCAGGAGGGGACAGGTCCCTTCAGGAAGATACCGCTGAGTGGCTTCTGCTTCCTCCTGCAGCCCTTGCAACTGAGCAGAGGCTCCAGTCACAAGGAGCTGCATCCAAAACTCCTGTGTCCAGAGAGGAGAAAGAAGGAGCAAGCACGAGGATACTTGTCCACTTTCCAAGCCACCTGTCATTCAGGGCCTTGCTCGTTCATTTCCAAACTTCTTGGAGGTCACACTCCGCCTGCTTCTGCAGGCCAAAAGCAGACTGAGCTCCTCCTGCCCTGGACTGGATGCTGTAGGCTGGGCCTTCTGGTGGCTCACCTGCAAATAGGCCTAAGGAATAGCCAAGAAAGGTGCTGTGCAGTATACTTTACTCTTAGGCAGGCCTCTACCCCAGGGTGGCGCCTCTGGCCTTCCATTCACCAGGCCCACTCGCCTCTGCTCCCACCCCCACCCACCCTGTCCCCTGTGGATTCGTGCTATCCGCTCCAGGTTCCAAGAATCCAGATCTGGTCAGGAGGACAGCCTGGACCTGGAGTCACTTATCCACACTGCCAGCCTGAGGAAGGCCAAGGCAAGTCTGGCCCAGAGTCTGAAGGGCCCCTAAAGGAGATTCCCAGGCCAGAGAGGGGCTAGGGGCATTATGCCCCAAATGCCCCAATAGTTCAGTTTCTGTTACAGGGCTCTGGTGTTTTGGATTGCGTGGTTCCAACACCCCACTTCACAGAGGGTGGCCGCCCTGCTGGCTGCCCTGCCCGCAAGGCCAGCTGGCTGTCAATGGGACTCCGACGACCCATCTCTATAGCACTTCTCCTCTACATGGCTGGTCTGCTCCAGAAGCCACTGCCGCTCATGTTCATTCATTATCAGCCTAAATGTCACCTCTTGAAAGACGCTGCTCACCGCCACCTGTATAAGCCAGAGAGAGCAGGGGCAGCTAAGTTACAGTCACAAGCTCTAGCACCACTGGGCCCCATCACCCAGCCCAGGCCTCGCCCTCCCATGAGAGATATCCTTACCTGCTCAAAGTGAAGTTTCTGAAACATCCGGATACTTGGCTCATTTCCTTGCCCAATTTTAGCCTCAAACTTGGTCAGACCTAGTTTGGTCACCCCTCCCAGAGAAGATGAGAGAGAGAGGGATGGGACACAGGATGAAGCACCCCCCTCTTATCCCCTACCCTTCCTCTCCCGTTTGGCAGTGGAAGCACCTGTCACCTGCCCCCCCACCCTCAGGCCTGAAGAAGATACTTCCCAACATGCCCATGTCCTCATCTGGGGCCTGGCCACTTCTCTACCATCTGCTCAGACTTCCTTACCATAAGACATCATCATGAGAACAGACTCGGTACCAAAGCCTTTGCCTCTGCAGCTGGGCTCTAGGAGGAATAATGGCAATCACTGGCACCGTGTGCCAGGCTCCACAGCAGGCACAGCAGTAATGCAGCTGCAACTTCATTTCAGCCTCAACTCAACACAGTTGGTACTATCATTGCCATTATGCAGACAGGAAAACAGACACATAGCAGTTGAAATAATTTGCACAAGGGTTCCCAGCTTAGACACACCCAGCAACCTGACCCCAAAGCTGACCCCTTACCTTCAGCATGCTGCCTCATCGGGAAGTCTTAGGGGAAGGCTGTGGACCATGAAGGACACAAACTAGAGGGGCTCCTTCCACAGCACGGGAAGGATGCTCCAGGAAAGGTCTTTTATTTTGGGAGGGTCCCCAGCGCCCAGCCCCCCAGCAGGAATGGAGCAGAATGAAGCCTGAAGACCCTCAAACTCAAGGTTAAATTCACACCTAAGGGCAGCCCCGGTGGCTCAGCGGTTTAGCGCCGCCTGCAGCCCAGGGTGTGTTCCTGGAGACCCGGGATCGAGTCCCAAGTCAGGCTCCCTGCATGGAGCCTGCTTCTCCCTCTCCTGTGTCTCTGCCTCTCTCTCTTCCTGTGTTTCTCATGAATAAATAAATAAAATCTTTAATTAATTAATTAATTAACACCTAAGCAGAAGACAGGAATAAAGTAAACCACCACGGGTGGAGCAGCAGGCTAATGGAGTGCCAGGGGGCAGTGTGCCCCAGGTAGGTGCTGGGCTCACCACTAGGAACCTCCCATTGAGCCCAGTGCCCTATGCAGCCTCAGCTGGCTTGAAGTTCAGCAGAAGGGAGGGAAGGGAGGGCCGAGTGGAACAAACCTGCAATCATGACCTCAATCTCCCCCAAGGAGGGGTCCCCTACATTTGTGAGAAAGAGGTTTACATCTCCCGCCATGCAGCTCTCTTCCGTGGTGCTTGGCTGGGCCTGCCACTTCTCTGCATCCAGCACAATGAATGTACACTCTAAGGAGGGAGGCAACAGGGTTCTCACTTACACTTCCCAAAGAAGCGAAGTGACAACAGTCTTCTGACCCAAACCAGAGAACTGTAGTATGACACCATTGCCTCTGTCTGCCATGAGGAAATTGGGCTCAGAGCTTCCTTTAGCTGATTACAAAGCCCTAAATTTGCCTCATGCAAGAAAAGATGGGACTCAAAACAGCAGCTCTATTCTCAGAAAGCAGTAACCACAACTGGGTTTGAGCAAGAGATGTGACAGGCAGGGCCTCCATTTACAGCCAGAGCCCTAAATGCTTTACTTTCTCTAAATCCTTCTAAGCCCGATGCAGTGGGTGTGGACAAACACAAAAGCACCAGTCACAGAGACTGGTCTCAGTGGGCATCAGAGTATGACGGTTTCAGGAAACTTCCAGACCTTTCATGAAGGATTTTCACAAAGTTTCTGGGGCCCAGAAGGGCTACAGCGGGAATGAGAAAGGGAGGGATCCTGGAGACTGCCGCTGGAGCCACCCCTCTCACTGCCAGCCCAGCCCAGGGCCTCTGCTTCTCACTGTCTGCATCTTCCCGCCAGCTCTGCTGCATTGAATACTCTTGCTCCAGGGTCAGCGGTTCAGAGGCTGTCAGACGCTGCAGCTCCTCTGATTTCATCCACTCGTGGTACCTGCAGGGACAGGAGGATGGCCTTTGGCATGCAGGACTGATTCGGGAGTACAGGTCTGACATTTTACGAGAGAAGAAGTGGATGGTAGATAGGAGAACCCCACAAGGCTAATACAGAGCTCTAAAAGATCTAAGGAGGGGCGTCTGGGTGGCTCAGTCAGTTTAGCATCTATCTCTTGATTTTGGCTCAGGTCACCATCTCCAGGTTAGGAGCTAGAGCCCTGCAACATGCCTCCTCCCCCCAGCTGGACACACCCCTCCCAGCTGGGTGTAGAGCCTGCTGGGGATTCTCTCCCTCGGCCCCTCCCCCTGCTCTTGTGTGAGCACGCTTTCTCCCCTCTTTGGGAAGAAAAAAAAAATCTAAGGAAAGGGTTATAATAGCTCCTAAGGCAGAGGAGCACAAGCACAAGACCTAGAAGCAGGCTGGTCTTACAAGGGAACTATCCAGCTTCCCATCCTGTCTCCGGGGTCAGTGCTGGGGCATCAGTGCTGGGGCGTAGTCTGAAGTCAAACATTCCTCAAATTCCTGAGCGGAAGTATATGGCAATCTGACCTCCTTAAGGAAGGCTGGACATATCTCCACAAAGGCCAGACACAGGAACACCCAAAAACTACAGGGGTGCCTGGGTGGCTCAGTCAGTTAGGCATCTGCCTTGAGCTCAGGTCATGATTCCAGGATCCTGGGATCAAGTCCAATCAAGCCCCGAGTAAGGCTCCCTGCTCAGTGGAGAACCTGCTTCTCCCTCTCCCCACTCCCCATGTGCGTTCTCGCTCCCTCTCACTCAAAAAAATAAATAAATTTTTTTTTAAAAAAAACCTACACGTAGAGAATACACTCCTACATCACCACCATCCCAGCCTACCAGACCTTAGCCAATTGCCCCAGGAAGAGTTCCACCCTGGCACTCAGTTCTGGCTTTTCAGAACAGTAGACATCAGAACAACCCATCAACTCAGTTTTCTGACAAACTAACGTTAAGTCTTCAAGACTGAGCATATTTGGGGTGCCTGCATAGCTCGCACCCATGCCTGGCAGGCTACAAGTTTCAGCTCAGGTCCTGATCTTAGGGTCCTGGGATGGAGCCCTGTGTCAGGCCTCCACACTCAGAGGGGAGCCTACTTCAGGATGCTCTCTCTCCCTCTACCCTTCCCACCCCCCCTTAAAATAAATAAATCTTTTTTCCCCCAGACTTAACTTACTCATTTGAGAGAGAAACAGCATGCTCAGGGGGAAGAGCAGAGGCAGAGGAAGAAGCAGGCTCCCTGCCAGGCTTGATCCCAGGACCCTGAGATCATGACCTGAGCCAAAGGCAGGCAGACACTCAACTGACTGAGCCACCCAGGCGCCCGTAAATAAATAAATATTTAAAAAAAAAAAAAAAAAACAACTAAGCATATTCGCTGACAACAGAGGAATGTCACTAATTTACAATCAGGCAATCTTTCTTACACCCATCTAGTTTACATAAAATAATTCCCTGCTGAGCGCCCAAAAAGGAAGCAGAGAAGACTGAAACGGAAAGGCGGGGGATGGGGGGGTGGGGGGGTAACTTCTTCCAGGGGAGTCCTCATTGTCTGCTTCAGCGCTCACTTCTTTCTGTAATGACTTCTCACCGCAATGTTTCTCCTTCTTAGGGGAAACAGCCTCTGAGATTCGGACTAAGGCAGGCTGACCCTCCTCGCCGCATCTTGGGAGAGCTGGCCTGCACCTCGCGTTAGGCGGACTGTTACCTAGGCACGTGCTCTGAGGTGTAGGGTACCAGCACCACCTTCTTCCCCAGCAGCAAGACGTTCTCATTTAACCTCATGGCGCCGGCCTGTAAGAGCGGAGGGCAAATACTCCAGGACCCTGCGTCTCCTCCCACTCGGGGTGGGAGCCCGGGGCCTCGAGTTTGCTAAATGCCTCCCGGAGCTCAGTGGTCAGGAGAGCCTTGGTTCCTTGGTTCCTTCTTTCTCTCGAAACCTTTCAGAGGACACGGACTCTGGACCCCTCGCCACAAGGGGAAGTGGGCCGGGTAAAGGGGACTACAAGATGCTCGCATCGCAGCTCCACGGGGCTAAGCGCGAGCTGCCGCTTCTGCGCGCCCCTTCCCTCCCACCTCGCTGACCCGCGAGGCCTCCGACCCAAGCGCCCAGGCTTAACCCCGAAGCTCCCATCACGTGCCCCGGGCCGGAGACTCCGCCCCACGATCAACTTGCAGCCTCGCCGGCAGACGCCTACGTCCAGCCCCTCTTCCCGGCGACCCCCCTCTCCCCGCCCCCAGCCCCCAGCCAGGTCCGAGCAGGCCGCCCTCCCCTGTGTGCGGACCCGTGGACCACCCTCCTCGGTCACCCGGACCGCCGGGGGCCCGGGTCGACTCCGCTCACACCCACTCCCGGCGGACGGACGCGTCCCCAGCCCCGCGGCCCCTCCTCCCCGCACGCGGGCGGAAGTGCCCCTCCCCCGCTTCCGCCCCGCAGACGGCGGCCGCCGGGGCCCAATCCCGGTCCCGCCTCCGCGAGGCGTCCAATCAGCGCGCTGCGCCCCGCCCGGGGCGCGCACGGCCAAAGTGGCCGCCGGGCGCGGGCGCATGCGCGCTGCGGGCGCTGGTGCGGGACAGCTGGCGCCGGCGGCGGCGGAGGGGCCGGAGGCGGCGGCCGCGGCGGCCCGGAGCGAGCCGGGGTGCAGGTGTCCGGCCGGGCGGGGGGGGACGGGCCGGGGCGGCGCCAGGCTCGGGGCTGCTCCAGGACGGAGGAAGAAGTCGGGGGGAGGCCCTCGAGAAGAGGGGGAGGCTTGGGGCTGGGGAGCCCGAAGCAGGGCAGAAAACAGGTTGGGGGGGGCAGGGAATGGAGGCCCCGTTACAGAGGAGAGGTTTGGGGACCAGCGGTTGGGTGGGGGTGGGCAGCGACCTGGGCAAGCCCCCAGTTTGTTGCCTTGATCTCGAGTGCCCTGTGTGGTAGTGAGCTCGCCGTCCCTGGCCGGCATTAAGTGTGGACGGCCACCGCACAGTGTGCAAAGGGGGGCGCTTGTGGTGAGGGAGACTTAGTGGCTTGTGGGGCTCCCTCTGTCACTTGGAGTCTGAACGGCCTTGAATACCTTCGTAGGAAAAAGTTAGAGGAAAGCACGCAGGTGTCACTCTTTCAGTATCTTCCTGACGGATACGGAGGCTGTGTCTGTAATCAAAGTACAGGGCCCCCGAGGGGTGTTCTCCAGAACTGTCCCCCAGATGCCAGCGACCTCTATCAGAAAGGTGAAGTCTGCTCTTTCCCCCTTAGGGAGCCGCAGCAGCCGCCGCCCAAGCAAGGAAGAAACCTAAGGAATCTCGGCCCACTGACCCTTCCTCACTTTTGGAAATGGCGGGTGAAATCACAGAGACCGGAGAGCTCTATTCCCCTTATGTGAGTTTTGCTTTTTTAGAACCTGTTTTACCCACGTCGTTGCTGCGGGCTCCTAGAGAAGCACAATGCTTCCTGGACTGTACGAGCCTAGTGAGCCTACACCTGCTTGTAGACCCTGGAGCAAGCCAGGCTGGGGAACTCCATTCAGCAGCAGGCATGTTGCTGCCGTCCAGGCCCAGAGCATGTGATGAGAGTTTGTGCACGTGTTCGATGCTGGTCAGAGAGTGGGCAAGGAAACAAAGCTGACTTGTTAATTCCTTGCGATCTCAGTGTCCCGGCCACTAGCACTTGCAAACTGAGCTGCTGTCCGGGGATGATGATTGACAGCTGTTGACTCTGGGTTTGCTCATCTCAGCAGTTTGAAAGCGCTTTGGTTGCCCGCTGAATTGTAAGTTGCACAACTTTTATAGTCTTGGATGGTGTAAGAGGCAGAGAAAGCATGCAGAGACTTCCAAGTGCAGTTTGCAGGAGTCTGTAATTAGAACAATTAGAAGGATTGATTTCTTACTGTATTGGGTCTGCATCACACACACCCCCACCTCCCACAGGTGCACTCAGTTTATCTTTGAGTCATGAAAGATTGGTCCTGGTTACATCACAGAGTCCTCTTGCCTGGATACCTAGCTGGAGGATTGGAATAATCAAATGATTGACTCATGGTGCTACTAAGTATCCCAAGGAAAAGCAGCACTGCCTTAAGTAACAAAAGTCCTCTTTCTAGAACTTACCTAACCTTAAGCAGCTGCCCCGCTTTCCACTTATTTCCTAGCCTGAGGATCCCGGCTTTGTCTCTGCTAGCTTCACAGACTCTGGTGTGATAGATATGAAAGTGTCTCAGAAAATAGCTGGCAAAAAAGCCTTTCTCACACCAGGGTCTTCCTACTGGGTCTGTGCCTTTTGTGTGTAGCACTAAAGGAGCCTCCTTTCTCTCCATAATTTATCAGGGGGTAGTCTTTCTTGAACTTTTGGACCGAGTCTAATAGTGTTGTTCTCATCTGAGGAATTGTGTAACAGCTCACAGTCTCTTCTTGGTATCAGCAGTGAAATGTTCCCACTGTCCATAAAAGTTGCCAAGCTTCCTGCTGCTTCTCAGAGCATCTATACATTTAGAGATGAGAAAATGAGTTATTTCTGTAGCTGAGTTTTAGGAAAGAAAAAAAACTTTGATAAGCTCACTTTTCTTGTGTTTCCAGTTATTCACATCATCATTTCACGTGTCAGCGTGTACCCACAGGAATTCGGACAGTGAGGCCGAAAAGCCTCAGTGGGTTCTGCTCCCCACCCCCCAACTTCCCTGTGTGTTTGGTTTTGTTTGAGGCCTGTGTTTAAGGGCATACTCTGGGTATTTGCCATTAACAACTTGTATTCTCTTATCCTACCAGTGGAGAGAGATGTAGAGAAGAGATGGGTGATGTTGAAGGTGAGCTGGCATTAGTCGGAAGTTACCAGTTAGGGTTTGAGAAGACACCGTGCTTTCTTCCTGAGTTTTCCCTAACTCTGCCATCCGGAGAGAGTGGTTCTTGATCCCTGTGAGACCAGGCAAAGGGCATCGGTTCACCATCCGCTGAGCCCAGAAAAGCAGTGGAACTGCTTCACCGTAGACGCTGCTTTGAATCCCCTGCCCGGCCCAATACAGGCAAGACCTGCTCTCTAGGTCTTGGGAAACCTGTTTGGTTCATGAAGGTGCATCAGCCCATAACCTGGGGTATTCCCAACACAGAGCCTCTCCCTGCCTCTGTGTTTGCTCTGTTGCCAGTTCTTTTCCCCTTTCTGGGTGTCAGGGGTGTTTGCCTTAGCTTGCATTATTCTGCATAAAATATGTGTAGTGGACAGACTAGCCTCACAGGGGACTCATGTGACAGGCCCTCTCAAGGATAATGCTGGATTCAGAACCTGGTTCCAGCCAGCACTTTCCCCAGAAGTGATCTCGGAACGGGCGTGTCCGGTTCCCTGTGTACAGGGACCAGAAGTGGCTCAGGGCTACAGGGACTATGTGATCCAAATAGAGGATGAAGCAGACCACCACCCACACAAGGCCCAGCCGCTGAGGGCCCTGCCAGCCAGTTTTGCCAAAGACCACTGCCGTTGCTTTCGAAGGAAAGGTTAATCGTTTCACAGCCTTAAATTCTAGTCATTGCTTCCGCATCTCTACTGGCTTCTGTTTCCTTTAACAGCTGTCCCTGGGGAAGTGGACAAAAACCGCCATGACTACTGCCTCATGCACATCTGTGCGTGAGGCTGCTGGGTGGGAGATAAGGCAGTAGGAACACTGTGCTCAACTCCCCAGGTTGTAGGGGAGCCAGTACTCCATCCCAAGGAATGATGGAGAACAGGAAGAGACTGTTTAGCCTGTAGCAGGGCTTGCTTCTGCTTTCCGCGACACCTTCCAGGAGGCTATCCCACCACAACTGTCAGGCCAGGAGCAGAAGAGAATGTCTCCTTCCTCCTCCTCCCACAACTGCCTTTGATCTGGCCCCTGGCTCAGCTCAGATTTGCTTCCTGCTCCATAGTCCTTGTAATTGGGCCTCACTGGCACCTTTACTGAAGGTTGAGAGGCTTTAACTCTCGCCAGGGAGGTGAAGAAGTTTCATATTATTCTACAGGATGCCCAGAGTTCTTGCTTTGAAGCTAAAAAATAGAGACAGCATAAGACAAATGTGATTACTCATTTCTGCTTCCAACTGCTAACAGTCTGTCCCTAGTTAGCTTCTTGTAAAGTTCTTCAAGGATCTTTTTCACCGAGATTTATTTGAAGTTTCCATTGGGAGTGTGTTTATTTTATTGTGTTTATAGGCAGTGGTTCTCAGCGGTGGCAGTCTTGCCCATCTTACCCACACACATGCCATCCCAGGACACCTGCCAGTGCCTGGGGACATTTGTGATCATCACAACACAGGTGCAAGGTTGGGGGCTACTGGAGCCTAGTCGGTAGAGGCCAGGATGCTGCTAAACATCCTGCAGTCCACAGGACAACCCACAATAAAGAAGAATTGGCCCCAAATGTCAACAGTGCTCAGGCTGAAAGTCCCTGCGCTACAGCAGACGCTTGACCTTTATATCTCATGACCTTTAGGTATCACCAAATTCACAAATGCCTCTTGTACTGTTTCATTTCCTTATAAAACTTTTGGCTAAGAACTAGCACTTTCTCTACTTCCATCGAACCTTCACCGGGGCCATTTTCCATAAAGAAAAAGGGTCCACCCTTCTTAAATGTTACTGCTCAGAAAAGCAGCATATAGAGAACAGAGCTGCAGGGAGCTGTAGGAACACGGTTCAAACTTGTTTTAATCCTTCTGAGATCTGTCTGTAGGATCAAACAGAGACTGTGATGTTTAAAACAGGACAAAGACTGTGAGACCTACGTCAGAGGACCTAGCCAGGTCCAGTCAGCTCAGCTGAGGATTCCTAGCTGGAGACTGTGGGGCAGGCACCCTGAGAAGTGACACACAGGCCACAGTGAGCCTCACATTTAACAATGGGGAAAAGATAACATTGAAAACCCAAACTAGGACCTAAGAAGTATTCTTGCCCTGGGGGTTTCTTGGAGGGCTTTGTGGTGGAAGTAACATTTGAATGCGTTTGAGTGCTGGGTGGCATTTGAGGGGCTGGCCAGGAGGCATGGGGGGGTGGTGCCCTATGCCAAATGTAAATGGACTGTGGGTAGAGCTCTTTTCTGTCCACAGGGTGCCTTCCTGTCCTTCACTCAGACGTACAGTCAACACCTGCCTGGAAGCTTGTCCCTCCCTAACCACTGCCCAGCTCCCTCTCCCCACATTTCAGTTAAAAAAAAAAAAAAAAAAAAAAACTTCTGAGTGACATTAGGAAAATGGGCCCCAATTTGTAGGTTTCTGATAAAAAGAAAATTCAGTACATGAATTAGGAAGACAAGCCATGAGAGACTCCTAACTCTGGGAAACAAACATAGGGTTGCAGAAGGGGAGGAGAGTGGGGGAATGGGGTAACTGGGTGATGGACATAAAGGATGGCACATGATAAGATGAGCATTGGGTGTTATACTGTATGTTGGCAAATTGAATTTATATAAAACAAAAATTTTAATTCAGTACATCGTTATTTTAGGAAAAATTTTAAAATATAGAAGAGAGCATATTTGTAAGAATAGGGAAGTATAAATGAGAGATGGGTAGGTATTCCCAGAGATGAATCATTTGTGTTGTCTGTTATTTATTTATTTATTTATTTATTTATTTATTTATTTATTTATTTATTTATTTATTTATTTTTAAAGATTTCATTTTTTTTATTCATGAAAGACACAGAGAGAGAGGCAGAGACACAGGCAGGGAGAAGCAGGCTCCATGCAGGGAGCCCAGTGTGGAACTCCATCCCGGGACTCCGGGATCATGCCCTGAGCCAAAGGCAGGCGCTCAACCACCGAGCCACCCAGGCTCCCTACGTTGTTGTTTTTAACAGAAACAGGTGGTAAAGCAAACTAAGCCCGTGTCACAGGAAGCCCAGTTAGGAAGTGGCTGTCACAGTCCAGGCTGGAAGCAATTAGGTGGTAAAGGGGAATAGGACCAGAGGTAGCCACAAAAGACTTCAGAAGTAGAATGGCTGAAGCTGGAGTACACAGAAGGGAGGAGGGAGTGGGGGTGACCGGCAGACAGTGGAGTTGAGGTCTGCAGGAAGGCTAATGCAGAGAAAGGTCCATCATCCCCTGTCTGGCTGTGGTAGTTAAAGCTGCAGGACTGAGTGAAGTTGCTGAGGGAAAAGCAAGTAGGAAAAGAGACCACTTACATCAGAGCGTAAGAAGGAATAGAGACTAAGAAAGCCGTTGGGTTAGGCAAATAGGAAGGAGGTAATTGGTGATTTTGAAGAATGTAGTTTCAAAAAAGCTCTAGGGATGGAAACCACAAAGTACAGAAACTTGGAAGCGAAGGCAGAGGAAATAGGTAGCTGCTTCACTGAGTTTGGTTAAGAGAAGTAAGAGAATTGTGTTTCAAAGTTGCTGAGGACCTGTGTAGGCAGAGGGGAAGAGCTGGTGGAAGGAAGATTCCTGAAAGGATTGAGCCCAGAAGGTTGGGTGCAGGGTTTAGCGTCCCCCAGGGGGAAGGACACACATTCCCCACAGGCAGGGAGGGGGTTGGGAGGATGCAGACACTGATTTTTGAGCATGGAGGGAGTGTGGCTTGGGGAGGGCATGTCACATGGCCTTGGGCACCTCCAGAACAGAGGACGCAGCCTTCATCTGAGAAGGGTGGGGGCTGGGGCGCCAAGAGTGAGGTTCGATGGTTTCCTGTGGGAAATGCCAAGAAGTCCATGGTGGAATAAAACCGGTGTGATGCTCTCAGAGCACAGGTGAAGGAACTTCTTTTTGCTGTGGGACCAATAATTATAACTGGAAGGAAGGAAGGGACAAAAAGAAAATACCGTGGAACTTTTAGCAGGCTTGCTGTATAGGGAGCAGAGGAAGCAGGCGCTTAGTCCATCCAAGGCTAGGGTCGGGGGGCAGCACAAGGGAGGCCACGTGAGGCCTGGGTGGACTGTGCTCAGCAAGCTAGCCTGTGGTAAATGATGTTGGGGAGACAGTGGCCTGGATCGGGTGGGTGGAGCGACTGCAGCTGTCAGCAGGAATGGGAAGGGCTGCAGAAGAAAGGACTTTCCTGGTTGAGACCTCAAAAAAGGAAAATGATAGTTAACAGCCAAAGTCAGGTTGGCGAGAATGTGAGTTTGCAACCTTATTCTCAGTGACCCAGCAATTCTACTCAGAGGCTGGTTGTCAGGGGCCAAGCGGTGCTGCTCCTGGGGATACCTGCTGCTTGCTCTCTGGGGTGATGAAGTGGAATCAGATGGTGGTGGTGGTTGCACAGCCCTATGACTGTGCCTGAAGCCACCAAACTGTGTCCTTCAAAGGGGTAAATTTTTTTATTAAGTTTTTAATTCCGGCATAGTTAACGTACAGCGCTGTATTAGTTTCAGTGTACAGTGTAGTGACTTGGCGATTCTGTACGTCACTTGGCGCTCATCATGACCAGCATGCTCTTCATCCCCTTCACCTGTCTCATCCAGCCCCCTACCCACTGCTCCTCTAGTGACCAGCAGGGGGTTCTCTATAGTTAAGAGTCTCTTTCTTGCTTTTTGTCTTTCTCTCTCTTCTTTTTGCCTTTGCTCATTTGTTTCTTAAATTCCACACGAGTGAAATCATAGGGTATTTGTCTTTCCCTGACTTCTGTTGCTTAGCATTATGCTCTCTAGTTCCATCCACATTGTCGCAAATAGCAAGATTTCATTTTTTTGATGGCTGGTTACTATTTCGTTGTACATACATACCACCTCTTCTTTATCCATTCATCACGCAATGGATAATTGGGCTGCTTCCATAATTGATGTTGTAGATAATGCTGCTATAAACATATGGGTGCATGTATGCCTTTGAATTAGTGTTTTTGTATTTGGGGGGGTTAAATACCCAGCAGTGTGATTACTGAATCATAGGGTAGTTCTTTTTTTAACTTTTTGAGGCACCTCTGTACTGTTTTCTGCAGTGGCTGCACCACTTTGCATCTCCACCAACTGTGCACAAGGGCTCCCCTTTCTCCGCATCCTTGCCAACACCTGTCATTTCCTGTGTTTTTGAGTTTAGCCATTATGACAGGTGTGAGCTGACAGCTCATTGTGGTTTTGATTTGCATTTCCCTAATGATGAGTGATGTTGAGCATCTCATGTCTGGTGGTCATCTATATGTCTTTGGAGAAATGTCTATTCATGACTTCTGTCCATTTCTTAGTGGATTGATTTTTTTTTTTTTTTTGGCTCTTGAGTTGTGTAAGTTCTTTATATATCTTGGATACTTTTATCGGATATGTCATTTGTAAATATCTTAAGAGTGAATTTTATGGTACGTAAATTGCATCTCAAGTTTCATAAACATCCTTGAAGTTAGTGTGGGGAGGACAGAGGGGAGAAGGAAGCAGCCTGAATGGCAGCATCCCAAAGACAATGGCAAGAATGGGTGGGGAGCAGGGTTGGGTCACGTGCTCAGAAGTCTTGGAAGAGTCCAGGTCTTTTTTAGGTCAGCCCTAGGTTCATCCTTGTGCCTAGTCCCCAGACATGGTGCTCTGTCCTCGGGAAGCCTACAGCCTGGTTGAGCAGGGAGCTAGCATCTGAAGTGCAGCTCTAAATACAAGGAAATGACAAGGTGGTAGGATGGTGACCACAGAAGCGGAGGAGGAACCCAATCAGTAGAGACATCTTGGAAAGACCCATAGAACGTGGGCCTTGAGCCTTCCAAGTGTTGGCATCTGCTTCCCTGGCAGCTGGTTGCAGAGCGCGCCTCCTTCAAACCTCCACCACATTCTCCCTTCTGACCTGCTTCCCTAGCTCAAGGCTGGCCTCTCTGCCTCCAGTGTGGCTGTTGCCCAGGGTCCTCTTTGGGAGCCACTGGAAGGAGAGGTTAATTAATTTCGGGGCTTGAATGTCACTTCTGTCGCTTCCAGGTGGGCCTGGTGTACATGTTTAACCTCATCGTGGGCACAGGTGCGCTCACCATGCCCAAGGCTTTTGCCACCGCGGGGTGGCTCGTCAGCTTGGTCCTGCTGGTGTTCCTGGGCTTCATGAGGTAAGAGGCTGGCACATGGGGGTGGCCAGGGAGGAGCCTGCCTGGGGAGCCCTGACCTCTTTTCATTAACATGAGGAATGGTGCCAGGGCAGGGGAGTGGTGGAGGATGGAGGTGACAGGAAGATGTCCACGGTGAATCCTAGCCAGGGTGGCCCATCGACAGGAAAGGAGGCACAAAGGTCTCCAGGTCTCATGCTAACAGACCAGTCATACAACCTGATCAGTTAAGAATCAAGACATCTGATCAGGCTTTGGAATGTTTCATGTGGTACTCATATTGCTTCCCCGGCTGCTTGATTTACTCTCTTATATACTTATACATGGTACCGTTTTTGTTCTCTGAGAAAACACCACCTAGCCACAGAAAAAGAATTGGACAAACATCTGCAGTGATAAGTCAGTTTGGAATTTAGAATTTGCTTAAGGTAGTTCACAAAGTGACGAACACACAGGTAAGCACCTAATAAAGTGTTCACCTCACCTCACCTGGTGCCTGGCAGCAAACGGGTGGCCACTGTCTGCCCACACTTTCAGGGGCTCCTGCTCCTTAAGCCGCGGGGGTGGGATTCACTAGCTGGTGCTTCAGAGGGGAGATCATACCTGAGGCTCTTCTCAGGGATTCTGCGGGCAGGTGGGGAGTCATTCAGCCAGTACCCCAGGCTCATAAGGGATTTAGGACTATGCATTTTCAGGTAGGAATCCACAGCTGCCCAAAAAAGGTAAGGGAGCACTTGGAAACACCTCCCAGGGGTCCCTTCCATGGGAGAGGTGACACCAGGCACTGTTTTTGGGTGAACAGAACAAAGATCACTGCCCTCAAGACTTCTCTTTCGGTGGGGAGACATAAAGAGTGAAGGTGATAAGAGAATTGTAGGGTAGGTTGGAAGGTGATGAGTAATGTGGAAAAAACACGACCAAGCCTCGCAGGGTGAGGCACAAGGAAGGTGGGGGCGATGGCAACTTTCGGCAGGTAGTCGGTGGTCACGGAGGGTGGCGGTTTGGCAGATGGGAAGGAGGGAGGAGTGGGTGCCTTTGGAAGGATGACATGGGCTACAGTTGAAGCCAGTGAGGACCTCAGAGAGGCTGAATGGAATAGGAAAACATTTCTCCGTTCCTTCACCCACTTTCTTTTGGGGTTTTGTGGCCATCCTTGGGGTACCGTTTGCTCATTGCATACTGTGAGTCCTGGTAGCCAAGAGCCCTAGAAGTCCTTGTCCTCCCCTGACTCTGCTGTCCCCTTTAAAGGACCTTCAGCATGGGCAGCCGTCTGAATGGGAAGTGATTATTGGGGGCCCCCAGGTAGGGACTGCCATGTCCCCTCCCTGCTCAGCCCATTTATATTTGAACATGATCGATGCGTTGGCCATTGTGCAGCCATGAGAAGCCTCTTCATGCCTTAACTAAGATTGATTCTAGTTTTACTTGCAAAAAGAAGGGAAAATCTAAAGTCCTTAAAATGGTCACTTAAGCAAGATAATGAGAAACCTTTCCAGGAGGTGCTGAGGCACCGGAATGGGAGCCTCAGAGCCAGCTGCCCTCCACCCACCAAGAGGAAGTGGGTGGGGGTTGAACACCTTCCCCCAAGGGCTGAGACAGCAGCCTGTGGTGGGTGAGGGCCCTTGAGGAGGGCTGGGGTGAAGCCTTGGGGAGGAGGGAGGTGACTGTGCTGTCCAGCGCTCAGCAGGGGGGATGTGGCCTTCCCCACAGCTCTGCTGACAGATGCTCCCCCTGCGCTCCTGCTGAAGTCTGGGCCTCTCCAGCTTTGCTAAGAGGAAGAGCCAAGATGGCTTTTCACTCTAGTCTGACTCCTCAGCAGACGTCTGCTGCCACCTCCCAGTGTCCCTTTTGATTTGAGCCCTAAAAACGCAAGCTTATTTTTACATCACCTAGATTATTGGGAAAGTGAAGGTCCTTCCGAAAAAGGAAGGAAGGAAGGAAACATGCAAACACATTCTGGAGCCAAACACCCTTTACAATTATCCACGCTGGCACTCTGTCCATTAGCGTGTGTAATTGGGAGCTGACCACTTACTGTGTCCCGTCAAGGAGAGGTGAGAGCTGCCGCTGCCCTTCCCTGAAGCTTTCAGAAGGTCCCTTGTGAATCCACCTCCTCCGCACCCTGCCCCCAGTGGACCCTTCTCAGTGTTCGCTGTCACATCGCCCCACATCCCCTCTTCCCTGGGGCTTATGCTCTACCCCATGCTACCAGCAGCTTATTGCACACCCCTCTCCTGTGCATCAAATCACATCCTAAACATAGACAGGGCAATCAAGGCAAGCACGCACCTACACACATACATTTTATCAAGTCAGATGCAACTCGAAAGTTCCTAGGGAACAGTTCTCAGAAGAGAGAATGCTTTGGGCTTGCTGGTTTGGTCAGGTCTTAAAGTGAATTTTCCTTTTTCATTGTACCACCTCTAACCTCCTACTGCCTTTGGCAATTACCTTGTGGCCTTCCTGCAGCTTTGTGACAACTACCTTCGTGGTAGAGGCCATGGCAGCAGCCAATGCTCAGCTCCGCTGGAAGAGGATGGAAAACCACCAGGTGTGTGTGTCGCCCTTGTCTCCGGGCAGTGCCTGTGTCCAGTCCTATGCCGTGAGGCAGCCCTCAGGGGCTGGTTCTTTCCTTCCCCATGTATGGTAGGCTTGTGTCCATAGCACTACTCTGTGCCTTTGTCCTAGAGCTCGGGTTTGACGGCCACATAAGCTTAGCGAACAGGTGCAGCCTCTGCTCTTTTTTTTTTTTTTTTTTTTTGCCTCTGCTCTCTTTAAAAAAAAAAAAAAGATTTTTAAAATTTATTTATTTAAGAGAGAGAGCATGCCCTCACGAGTGAGGGGAAGGACAGAGGGAGAGGGAGAAGCAGACTCCCCACTGAGCAAGGAGCCTGATGTGGAACTCGATCCCACATGACCTGAGCTGAAGGCAGACGTTTAACCACCTGAGCCACTCAGGTGCCCCAGGCCTCTGCTGTCTTAACATCATGTCATGATGGGTCCCTTGAGCCCCCTACTTTGAGCTCGCCTGTCATTCTGAGCCTCCATACCCGGGACCTGTGGTACATCTTCAGATCTGACATCTCAGTGTCTGCACCTAATGTGGGAGCACAGTGGTGCTGAGAGATGCCCCTGATCAGACACATTCTGGAAAGAAATAACAGAAGAAATGGGGTTCTTCAATTCTCTGTGGGTTTTCTGTAGCGTTTGTTCTTTCTTGTTTGCTCCCCTTCCCCCACCCCACCCCTCCTAGGAGGAAGAAGATGATGACTCCTCCACAGCCTCCGACAGTGATGTCCTTGTCCAGGACAACTATGAGCGGGCAGAGAAACGGCCCATCCTGTCAGTGCGTAAGTCTTGGGGTTCTGAGCTGGCCGGCATCTCCTTCTGGTCCATAGGGTTCCCTTTCCTTGTAAAGAGGACCAGGAATCTCTGCACAGACCCTCTGGCCAGAGCACAAGCCCCAGGCCCAGGCTTCACCCTGCTGGCTCCCCTGCTTGCTAATGTTTGTAACTTGGGCAGGTTACCCACCTCAGTGCCAAGGGCACACTGGATGCTTGAATAAATGTGGGATGTCCTCCTGTCCCACTATGCACGATGCCTGACAGGTCCCATCCCCAGTCCAGCAGAGCGAGCCAGGGCCAGGTGTCCCAGCTACCCACCCCCCACCCCCTGCCCATCCATAGTGAGCACCCTAGGATCCTTTCCTGTAGTGTTTTAAAATGTATTACAGGTAGGAAACAGTAGAAGTTTTCAGAAGAATTTGAAGTGCTCTAGGATTTCCTTATTCTGGAGAATTCTGTGAGCTCAGCACCCCCTCTGAGAGCTTTTCCAAATGAAAACTGCTTCCTCTTCCTTGTCCATTACCTCCACAGAGAGACGTGGATCTCTGAACCTTTTTGAAATCACAGACCGGGTGGAAATGGGACAGATGGCCTGTATGTTCTTCAATAAAGGTATAAGCTCTTTCCCAAGGTGGGGTGAGGGCAAAGAGAGGTGGTGCTTTCCAACAGACCTTGACCGCTAGGGATGGGGCAGGCTCTGCAGACACAGATGAGCAGACTGTCAGCAGGCCTGCCGGTGCACTTGGGCAGCCACCTTGCCGAGAGGACTGAACCGCTCGTGTTGCCTTCCTTGAATCCCTCCCCGTTCATCATCAGCACTAAGAGGAAAGAAGCAGCTACTTGGTTCCTACTGTTTGTAGAGGTCAGGAATCCTAAGCAGCTTTCCAAGGAAGGAAGCCGCTAGAGCCAGCTGGTAGTTTTGTGCCTCTTGCCTGATTGCTCCTGACGTGTCTCCTTTTCTTCTGGACTGCTCAGTCTAGGACAACGCAGGGCAGAGACCTGTGACGGATACACCGTGCACATACGTGTGTGTGTGTGTGTGTGTGTGTGTGTGTGTGTGTGTGTGTGTGTGTACACGCATCTACCTCATTTTCTGTGTGCCCCCCCCCACCCTGGTGGCCAGCAGAGGGCGCAAGGAGTCCATGCACGGGGTTGCTGTCTGGGAATCTCAGTGTCTATTCATGACCTGCTCCTTGGTGGGATTGCCTGCAGCTCAGAGGATCCCCTGACCCCAGCTCAGAGGCTAGCTTGCCGGGTGTTCAGTGACAACACCATGTATCTCCACAGCAAATGTTGTTCTTTTGAAAGATGATCTGCTTAAGAGCTTAGTTTTTTAGTGCCCAGACCTGCTGGTTTCCCCTCCATGGACAGTCAGACGCATCTCAATAAACCCTTGTCTTTGTGAAAATTTTCTTTTTGGGAGATTTCCTGCCCCTTTGTCACAGCCGCCCGTTTCCAGGGGCGTCCTCTCCACTGGTTCTTTCTAGTCTTAAATGTGACTGCAGTAACTCAGAGCCTGAGGGATCAGAGAAGCCAGAGTCTTCTTGACTGCTTTTCAGGACATTAAGCATTCGGCTTATCACGGGTGCTGCAATTTGACAGTCCAGAGCATGATGATCATCAGCCAAAGGTCGCCGGAGGGTTTGGGTCCCGCCCTCCCTACCAGCCTCACAGAGGGTTCCAGAATTCATGAAAACCAGACTGGTCATGTCCAACCCACTCTGTTCCTCTGTTCCGTTTCTATCTCTCCCCATCTCGTTAGATGAAGATAAGAGTGTGAACATTTCCTCCTGGCAGCCGCATGTTGGAGGGAGGACATATACCTTTGAAACCTCCTTTCTGATCAGCATGTTTTACAGTCCGCCCCAGTTTCTTTAACAATTCTGGGAACCAATGGTTTTATTTTTTTTCTTCCCTTACAGACCAGACTTCTGGTTCCCCCCCACTCTAATAGAAAAGGAGTTCACTCATACAAGAGCAGCCTCCCACTCAGGGGACGCCTTCTCCTCTGCTACGAGTTTGCCACACTCAGCAGTGATGACATTTGAGCTGGGTCATTCTTTGTCGTGGGGCCTGACCTGTGCATTGTGGGATATTAAGCAGCATCCTTGGCCCCCACCCACTAGATGCCAGTAGCACCTCCCAATCGTGACAACCAAACGTCTTCAGATGTTGTCAGAGGTCCCTGGTGGAGGTTGCGAGGCAAAATCACCCCCAGGCGAAACCCACTGCTCTGCCCTGTCCTTCATCCAGGGGTAGTTTTCTTCCCCTGGGAAGGACCTGCCACCCTCCACGACAAGATCCTTCGGGCTCCAGGCTCACTCCTGTGACTGGCAGTGCCAGGCCTCGTCATTGCCGTCTTCTCAGGAAGCTCGTCGGTCCTCCCATTTTGTGTCTAGTAATGAGATTTATTGATCAGGGAGGGCCAATGGCAGTTTATAAACAGAGCTGACACCGCAGTTCACAGGCAAGAGGAGAGGTTGAGTGGGGAGGAGACAGTACCTCTCTGCAGAGAGCATTCGTGTCAGAGCAGAAAGACAATCTGGGGCCTGGGGTGCGAGTAGCTGCCAGACCCCAGGGGCCACTGACTGAGCTTGAACACGGACACTACCTGAGGCCTCCTCGCAAGAACTGTGTTTTCCTGGTCTTTCTCCCCCAGACTCCTAGGAGCAGAGCTAACCTCTAATAGGCCAGGAGGAACATGTCCCTGGTTTTCCCCTTGGGGACCCTAGAGGCTCTTCTGAGCCACCAGGATTAGAAGGGAACTGTCACTTCATTTTTCTTTCTGTTCTTGGAGAAGCTGGCAGCCTGAGACCCATGACATCAAAAACGAGCAGTCGGTCTGAAAGGCAGTTTGAGACTGGCTGTCTGGGGCTGTGACCTCGAGGTTGTAGGGCCCGGATGCTTTTTTCAGAGCTTTTACACCTGGTCTGTAAAGCTGGAATCACGTAGGGAATTTAGCACAGGTGGAATAATTCTCGCTGTGCGGGATGGGAGGTGGTCGGGGACTTGCCTCCGTCATGGGTCAGGAAGTGAGATCCATGGCGCTGGGTCTAGAGCCCACGTTCCCTCCTGGTTCATGCCGCACTGGAGGGGGAAGGGGGCAAGGTTTGCCTCTGTGGAGGGAGCTTCCACGGGCACCTTCAGAAGGCAGCATTCTCCCTGGCAAATGTTCTGACCTCAAGCGCGTCTTGAGCGGCCCCTCCCATGGCCCCCTGTGTCGGCAGCAGCCCAGCCGCCCCCTCCTTCCCATCTGAGCCTTGGTGATCCGTCACCAGAATGAGGCTTTGGACATCAGGGCTTTTCACCTTCTTGCAGCTTCAGAACCTGGGCCATTTTTGGTTCTCTTCGCTTTCCAGTCCTCAGTACCAGCCTTTGTCATAGAGTCCTGTGTTAGGGTGTGAGGGGCCCCAATCCAGGCACGCTCAGGCTCCTGACCCAGCGCCTCTCTACTCCTCCTGCCCAGACAGCCCGTCCCAAGCAAGGAGACCCCTCTGATCCTCCCTGGGCAGCCCCCACCTCACACTGCCCTGCACCTGCCTGGATGTGGAGTGTCTTGGGCCCCCAGCCTCGCCTAGCCTCGCTGAGGTGGAGGTCACGGGCGGCCGTGGCTCCTGCTGCCACACAGTGCAGCCAGCCAAAACAAGCCACGGGACTTAGTTGCTTTCTTTCTGGAGAAAGGAAAGCTGTAGGAGAGTGGAGACCTCATGGTCAGGAAAGAACACAGGCGCCTGCGTGGCTCCCTGACAGTGACTCTGTTCCTTTCAGTGGGGGTCAACTTGTTCTATTTCTGCATCATCATTTACCTGTACGGGGATTTGGCCATCTACGCTGCCGCTGTCCCCTTCTCCCTCATGCAGGTGACCTGGTGAGTGTCTCTCCCCTCTCCGCCCCCCTCGCCACCTGGGCTATAGCCGAACAGGCTTCCTCATCCAGTCAGGGCAGAGTATTTGGTAGAAGCACAACACCCAGCAAATTTGTCAGCATCTAAAGATTGGAGAGGCCGAGGCCCCATTCTGTGGACACCACAGCTGGCTATTCACTCTGTCCCTGGGAAACACACTCTACTGCCCCCTCCCTGGAAGATGACTAGGATTCCCACCAGGGGCTCCTGGGTCACTGGGGAATGGCGCCAAAGGGACAAGTAGCACCTGCCCAAAGAGATTGAGGATTGTGATTCATGTTGAGTGAGGTTGGTCTAGAAGCAGCTGCAGCGGGAGTAGAGGCGCAGTGGTGGCTAATAATTAGTAACGTTACATCCTGTCTGCTCCCAGCCAAGTGGGGGCCACACTGAGCCACTCTTCTCTTTATCAGCAGCGCCACTGGCAACGAGTCCTGCGGTGTGGAGGCTGACACCAAGCACAACGACACCGACCCCTGCTGGGGGCCCCTGCGCCGTGTGGACGCCTACCGCATCTACCTGGTGAGTGGCCTCACCTCTGCCCAGCCTGGGTGGCTGGGGGCATTTGAACTTTACTCTTTGATCAAGCTCTTTCCCCAGAGAGGAGGGTCTACACAGCTCCACAGGCATTAATTACCACCTTCATCTTTCAGATATTGTGCTTATAACTCCCAGGCTAGTTACTGGGGCAATGGTCCTGGGCAGAAAACACCAGGTTACTAAGAACATAGCCTGCGTGTCCAGTCACACGTTCCTCGGAGTTGGCATTCGGGTCATTGCCAGCTCCTGGCTGTGAACTCATAAACTGAGCTCACGGTTTGAGGGGCACCCTCAGCATAGCTCTTTAAGTGTGTCAGGGCTAATTTCCTGGAGACTTGCCACATTTTGACTTAACTCCTGGCCAGCCCAAGAGCATATGGTAGGTGCCGGGCTTCCCAACTGGGCAGGCAGGACTGAACCATCTTAGCGGTTGGCCCTGACCACAAACAAGCTCTCCAAATAGGGAAGGATCAGCCCAGCTCTCTCCCTTTCTCCCCTCCTCCCTGCAGGTGAGGGAGGAAGATGAATCTCCAGGCTGCTCTCGACTCTTCTGTGCCATGGGCAGGGGGGACGTGGGCTGGAACTGGATGCCATGCCAGACATGAAACCAGAGGCCATTATTTATCTCTGCCTACTTTGTGGGCAGGACTCCGAAATGATTCCCTCCCCCTTTTGCAGGATCTATTAATATTCTCTGCCTCCTCTTGGTCCTCCTCAACCCTGACACAGATTTAGGTGTGTGAGGTGACACAGAGTTTGACACGTGGCCACTTCACTGATTCAGGGAAGGAGGTAGGGTTCAGGAAAGAGGCAAGCCTTTCGGGGAGTTGGCCTCTTGACTTACCTGTCCGTGTCCTGGTAGAGGTTCCTGCAGGTGCTTCCAGCGGTTACCTGGTTCTGAGTTACTGGGCCACTGAGTGCCGGTTTTGCCTTCCCAGTCCCATCTGAAGACCTGTGGACCTACTGAAGGCAACCTGTGGGCCACACATAGGGAGAGGTTGGTTTTCCTCTTCTGCATTGCTGGAGCGATTGGATGGTCTGGTTTTTGGCTTGCACGGTCACCTAGGACTAGAAATTTGTCTTTTAATAGAATCATATTTCAAATCCCCCTACATGTGGTGGGAACTTGGAAGCAAGTTAATTCCCTGGCACCGTTCCCTACTTGCCCAGTCTTGTTGAGGGACAGGGGTCACTGTCAGGAGGGCAGCACAGCTCAGACCCGTTAGCCTCTTAGCATTTCAACAAGCCATCATTGATGATATTAGCAAAGGTATCAGTGAGTAAAACGACCTGCCTAGATCTCTAACTAGAGGAAGGAGGAAGCAGGAGAAGGTGGAGGAAGAGGTCCAAGAGGCTCAACACAGACACTGGAGCACATCAGGGCAGAGGGACCTGCAGAGGGACCCGACCTCAGGTGGGTCTTTCTAGGAGAAGCTGATAGAATCTGCTAAATTGGGCTCCTGGGTGGCTCAGTCAGTTAAGCGTCTGCCTTCGGCTCATGTCGTGATCCTACGGTCCTGAGATCGAGTTCCGCATCAGGCTCCCTGCTTAACAGGGAATCTGCTTCTCCCTCTTCTCCTCCCCTCTGCTCGTGCATGTGCTCGCTTGCTCTCTCAAATAAAATATTAAAAAAAAAAAAATCTATGCTGAATCTGCCTGGCACATCCCCTCCCCAGCAAAATAGATACAAGTACTGGGAATATTGGCTGCTGCCATTTGCCTGGTAAATTATTTAGAAGCATTATTATTGCTTTATTAAAATGTTCCCTCACTTATTCCCGTAAACCTTCCACGTGATGGGAGCCTCCCTCCCTGAATCTCAATAACCCCCTGATGAGGAAGAAGGAGCTGTTCAGGAAAGCAGACAGGCATTAATTACCACCTTCATCTTTCAGATATTGTGCTTATAACTCCCAGGGCTGATTGCCACCCAACCCGCAAAAGCAGCAGGGGTGGGAAGGGCCCAAGGGAATAGAGCCTATCCCGCCGGGTTGTTTTTCCATTCCTCCTCCTCCCGGTCCGCTGCTGGGGGCCTTGCTTTGCTCAGGTGTTGTGTCCAAGTGTGCTTCCTCCCTGGTTTGGAGAAATTCAAGGCAGCCAGATCTCCACATCATCTCAGGAGTTAGAACTTTGTGTCCAGCTCCTGGGGTCTGTGGCTTCTGAAGAACAGTGGTTCCTGCCTCGCCACACTGGGTGTGCACCCACAAACCACACCCCTGTCAGTGACCTGGAAGGGATCAGCAAACACAGAGGTTTCCTTCCTTGGTCCTGAGCTCTCTGTTGAGGGTGGCAGGGGCACCTCCCCTTCCCAAACCGGACCCATGGGGCTCCTCCGGGTGTCTTCATTCCATCAGGTGGCCTCTGCAGATGTAAAGGAGGAGGCTCGTACTTCTCCCCATACTGCTTTAGTTATTCACATTCAGGAAATTGTCCCTTCTGGAGACTCCCAGTACCTCTCTCTACCCGTGATTTCTGATTTTTGCCGGCAGCCAGACTTCACCACGATGTGGGGTGAGACGGCAGGCAGCTTTAAAGCACCCCCACCCCGTGCACAATCCTCTCCTTGTCTCAGGTATTAGGTAGGTGATGCACCTGCCCAGCCTGCGTGTTTTGTAAGGGCCTTGTAATAACCATCTCTTCATTGCTATTTTGGGACAGTACATCCTGGGGAATAAAGATACAGGCTTTTATTTTGTAGTTTAATTTTCAGAAGGTCCTTTGGAAACCAGTCTTTTCCGTGTCTTCCCAGGAATGCTACTGAAATGCACACATAGAATGAGAATATTTGGGGTATTAACTCTACCCAGAGGCCAGCCTGTGCGTAGCATCATGATAAGAAAGGAGCTTTCTCCATCAGCAGCTACCAGTCGCCTCCCAAAGCCCTTGACCATAACGAATGGAAAATTTCTCCTCCCCTCCACCCTGCGACCTCCGTCCACATTCTGTGATTGCCAGTGCAGCTGATATGAGTCAGTCTCTCCCTCTCCTTCCTTGGAGTAGCCACAGAACAGGGCACTGGGAGGCGGGGGTCCCGTGAGTCACACGTGCTTGCCAGGGCCGTCCCCACAGGCTGCTGCAGCTGGAGCCAGCAGTGACCTGGGCCCTGGCAAGAGCCCATGAGAATTAACCATCAGGACCTGCTGTCAGCTGCCCTTGGATTCTCAGAACCCCACACATGCCCCTTCTGCTCCTTTGAAGGATCAGTGAGAAAGTGTCAGGTGCCCCACCTCTTTCAAACCAGTAACCTCGCCTCCAGGCTGGGGAATATCTTGGGATTCTTTGTGCAGAGCTTCTCTGGCCTTGCTAGGAAACAGAAGTGAGCGCTTCCCTCTCCCCTGTGCGGTGAGGAGGAGCCAAGGACCAGTGGTGAAGTGGTGTGGTTGTGCATAAATCAGTTCTCTCCAGGAACTCAACCTTCCCGAGTGTCTGGGAAGCAGGATGCGTGCCGCTGTTCCATGGAGTCGAGGGCACTACGAGTTGCTCATTTCACTTTCTTGTCCCTGCAGCGCTTCCCAGCCCATCCCCCAAACCCCAAGCCCAGGGCCTAGCCCTGATGTTGCCCCTGCCTCTAGAGTGTCAGAGGGAAGCCCTGAGGCCACAGTGGGACGTCCTGGGCGCCGAGCACTCCTGCCGGTTCGCAGGAGTGGCCTCTGCCTCTTACAGGTGGACAGATGCTGCTGGGTCACCGGCAGCCCAGCAGGCACCGGCCAAGCAGAGCCGGGAGCGCAGATGGCACAACGGAGCTCATCCTGGCTGGAGGCTCGGCTACAAACCGATGGTATGGAGTGGGGGCCCTCGTGGCTGCCTTGGGACAGGACAAGGTCACCCTGGCTTGCCATCCTGCCTTGATACAGGAGGTGGCCCGGGAGAGAGATGACAGCCTGCAGGTGCCTGGTCACCCCCTTGAAGAAGCGGGGTGTGTATTGGGGGCTGTGGGGGAGTTTAGGGAGTTCTATCTGCTGGGCTCTTCCGAGGGGTGTAGGGCAATCCGATTCGGGCTCAGGTTAACATGGGAAGGGGCTTCCTAGGCTTTCACGAGAGTCCCGGTTTCTCCATCTGCCAGGAAGTCGTGTTTTCTGATTCCATCTTGCCTCAGCGTGATGCAGCAATACTTGTCTGTCATCTGCAACATTTAGAATACCATGTAGTCCCCTTTTTAAAACTCAGGAGTCTTTTCCTAAGACAGTACCACTCAAGGTGTGAACATCCTTTTTGTAAGGAGATGGAGAGGGGCGTGACGTGCCTGCATGGCCATGCCAAGCCTTGACCGGCCCTTCCTACTGCAGCTTTGCGTGGGTGTAGCCTCTTGCCACTCACTTTCTCATTTCGCCCTTCCAGCTGCACACAGTAAGGCTCATGGCATCATTCCACTTTACAGCAGAGAAAACTGAGACTTTGGGACTGTGTCTTCCCCAGGGCCAAGGCAAAGACAGAAGCCCAGCTCCTGGGGTTCCCACCCCCATCCTCTGGCCCTGGTCACAGCCTTGCTGGACTTGCAGGCTGCCCTGCTGGCGAGGCCCGAGAGAAGGGGCAGGTCTCACCCGGTCATCAGCCCTTGGAGCTTAATGTTTGCAGAGGGGTGGGGTGGTGCTGCCCAGGATGGGATCTGTTCAGTGATCCGTGTCTGCTCACCCTGCCTGTCTGCTTGATGGATTTGCTGCCTCTCACTCCTAGATAGTGGAGCAGACTTCTCACATTCGCTCAAGGAGCACCAGCATTGGACACAACTTCCCAAGGACATTTCTTGTCCCTGCCACGGTCCCTTTCTGTGTTCTTTCAGCATCAGCCACGATGCCCTGGGGCTGTGGCATCTGCTAATAAGTGGGTCACCGCTGCCATCACTTGAATATTTATTCTTACCAATTCTGGGGCAAGAGGTGGCCTAGAGGCCTTCAGGACCAGTGAGGGGGGAAAGCACGGCGCAACAAGGTTTAGCAGCCACAGTGACATGACAGGATGTGGGGGCTCTCGGGAACACTGCTGCATACCTCTAGAGGCACCTCCGTGTGCCCCAGTAGGACATGGCATGGACGCTGCCCCTGGATTTGCCACTACTGGGAACTTGGAGTAGAAGGTGACAGTAAGCTGGGAAGGGAGGCCCCAGAGGGCTGGTGGGAACTGACAGGGCAAATGAACTGTCTTTGTGAGGGCTCATGGGGTGGCTCTGTTTGGGTGCAGAGAGCAGTGCCCTAAGCCCACAAGTGGCCTGATGGCAGCTTCCTTTCTCCAGGACACACTGCCCTCCTGTCTGGTGCACATGGGTTGCTTATGGGGTCTAGAATATCAAAGTGCGTCCTTTGTAGGATGGCCACCTACCAGGACTACCAGGGAAGCCCATCTTTCTTTCTTTTTTCCTTTCTCCCCACAATGTGCTACTTGTCAGCTCCCCTTCACTCCATCTGGATGTTCAATAATGTCCATTTTGCTTGGTCTCTCTTTCTCCCCACTCACTCATGGGAAGATAGCAGTCATACCGGCTGGTCACCACAGGTGGGAGGAGCGGGGCAGCCCTAATGCCCTGTGCCTGGCAGACACCGGGGGCTTCGGCTTGATGGTGGCCTGCGGCGTCTTCAGCCAGTTGTGCAGCAATGTGTCCTCGTGAGCCTCTCCCCCATGTGCCAAACCTCCACTTTCAACCCACAATGCCGGGTCTCCATGAATGAAATTTCTGCCCTATGCCCCAAAAATGTGTGGGCCCGCAACCCAAACAAGAGCTGGATCTCTAATGTGGGGGGAATGCTCGTGCTTACATTGAAGTGACTGACTTTAAAGGATTAGCTTGTCTCTCTTTCTCAAGGAAATCAATAATACAGGGACAGGTCTTTGTTTTTTTTTTTTTCTCTCTCTCTCTCTTCTTTTTTCAAGGGAGCTGTCTATATATTTCATCCTGGGAATGGCCTCTTGTTTTTGGTGTGCTTTCCACCCCCACCCCCACCCCCACCCAGCCCTTTCTAAATGAAATTCAGATTGCTCTGTCACTCATTCCAACACTGTGGTTTGGCTCTCGAACTCCTGTGAAGGACCTCATGAGCCTCCAGCACCCCGCCCATCACCCATGGCTACCGCTGCCTGGGCACAGCCTCCCACACATCCCGAGAGTCTGTCCGGCTGCTGCCCTGCATGCTCCAGACCAGCCCTCACGTTTCCATGCAAACCTGGGTAGCACCTCCCTGGGCCATGGGGACCGCTGCCCCCTGCCCCACTCCCCAGCACCTTTGGGTGTTGGGGCTGAGCTTCCTTCTTCAGCTCCGTGAGAGGATTGCTGTTTTTATTTTTAATGTGCCTCTCAGGGACATGGGTTCTGTCGGCTGGCGTTAAGCCCGCCATCCATCACCCTCACATCCTGTCTCTGCCATGGCAGACACCTGACACACTGGCTTAGAAGGTGACACTTAATCCCCAGTGCCGCCGCCTCTCTGCTCCCAGTCAAGATACCAGGTGATGGGAATTTGGATCTCAAGCTGGTGGTCCTCGCTTCTCCTGGACAGTCCCCACTGTCCCTTCCCCAAATCTCAGAAGCTGTTTGTTGCCATTGGTTGGGGTCCTGCATGCTCTACTCTGTCCTGGTGGATGGAGGGAACTTATATCCTAGCTCCTGAGCCAGGTGAACTGCCCAGACTCCCTTGTCACACGCTGGCAGTTTGAGCATTTCTCTGCCCTCTTAGAACGTCCCAGGTCTCTACCCCTATATCCATTGTCTGGCAAGTCATGAGTACTTGCTTACAAACGCCATTTGCCCAGGGCAGACTGTTTGGACTCCTGGGCCCATGGGTAGATGTCAGGTAAACTGACCTGGATTCTCATCCTTCCGCCCTGCCCCCATCCTCAATTCAGCCAGGCAGGTGCCTTGAGATGGGGGGAATTATCTTGTGTGCCATCACCTGGCCACCCTTACCCCAGCATGCTTAGCTCTTAAGAAACCTCACTGTATGGAAGTCCAAATGTATAAAACAAACAGGGGAGGTAATTGATAGTTACAAAGTACTTCATTAGTTCGTAAAAGGACTGGCTGCAGGTTTCTCTTGAGTACTTGGTTTTCCTAATGGGTGTAAAATGTTATTCCGTGAAAACTGAGGATTTATAAATAGAACTTTTAGACGCCTGTTTCTTGTAAAGGAAGTACCACCTATTCACATGCATTGGGGCAGAAAGGAAGTATCCACCTATATACGTGCATTGGGGCAGCAATCCAAAGCCTGGTTCGTATGGAAACAGGGATGAGCAGCGATGAGCAGCCCACCTACAAGAGAGCCAGGGATGCACACACCCTTGTACGCACACACAGGCTGGGAAGCTTCATGGAGCTTGTTAAGTGCATGCCCACGGCCCACACTCCTGCACGGGCCAATCTGGTTGGGAAACTTCCAAATAGGTCTCCATGGGGAGTGCTCATCCCTGCTGGGGACCTTCTGCACTGTGCTTTTTCAGGACCGTTTTATCCACACTCATCCCAGGCAGCCTGAGCTTGAGGCTTAAGCACGCCTTCTCTGTGAGTGGCACGAGTAGGGATAAATGCCTGACGCTCCTCGCTTCACAAGCGTCCTAGGCCGACCCTGCCACTGACCTGTGTGTGTTTTCAGCATTCCCCTCAAGCTGCTCTGGGCTGACCCCAAACGGTTCAACCCAGGCCATCTCCATGCTCCACATCCCCTCTGCTTCCAGCCTTCCTTTTCTGGGTAAGGAGCTAAAAGTGACTTTGTTTCCTTTAAGGAAGTGTCCTGATTGATTTCACATCTCGCTCCCCTCCTCCCCACTTGGTTTCATTTCCCCCAAAAGTGCAGGGGGGGAAAAAAAACATCATCTAGAACCCAGCAGCCTGCTAGTGGTTTTAGAGGAAGGTGGAATGTTCTTAAATATTTTGTGTTAACTAGGATGGAAACCGTGCACGCCAGCCCATTTTTTCCCTCCTGCCCTGTGTCCGTCTGATGCTTTCATTGCACAGAGGACCCATGGTACTTGTGAGGGCCCTGCTGAGTTTGTGGGGCTGTGCTTGCCCCCTGAGCGATGCTCACTCTCTGTTACAGGGTGTCTATTGTGAGCCGAATCCAGTGTCTTTCTAAATAGCGCCCCAGGGCCTCGGCAATAATTGTTTAATTAAATAAAGCGCTCATTCTAAAGTAATAACTGCGCTCCTCTGTGTTGCTGGCATCCTAGCCAGCGGCGCTGGCTGTGCAAACTGTGCTGAGAATAAAAGTGTCTTTGGGCACGTCCTCCGGACTGCAGGCCAGCCCAGAGAAAAAAGCTGGAGCCGAGGAAGTCCAAAGGGTTTGCAGCCAGCAGAGATGCTGACCCGAGCGTGATGGGCATCAGGGGAGCTGAACAATTAGGGTGCATATTAATGATGACATCTGATTAATTAGCATGAGCTGGGGCTGTCTCGTGGATTAGCTGAGAGCAGACCAAGGTACATTTTAATAAGCCTTCAAGTGCAAAGGGAGGTGCCGCAGAGCGCATTGCTGAGCAGATGCTTCGTGGTGAGCGTGAATCTGGAAGGAAGGGTCACAGAGCACAGCAGGGCCCAGTGAGTTTGGCTCCGGGAAGAACTTCTCTAGCCTCAGATTGAGACGTTCCCTGAACACCTTGACAGGAGGGAAGAGACGGCCGGGCCAGGTGCTGGGTGCCAACCGGTCTGTGATGCGTACCCCTCACCGCTGTAGGGAGGCTGTGCTCTACCCACAAGACAGGCATATGGCCCTGGGAACACTGTCCAGCTCTCTTCCTTCCCTCAGGTCCAGAGTATGAGCCTCAACTGTACCTCAGGGTTTGGTTCCAGGAACC